TGTACTCAGCATCCATACTTGATACTCTTTGGAGAACTGTCACCCACAGGGCAGAGCTGCAGGGGTGCTGGCAGAGCCTCCCCATTTGCCCCTAGGAGCTGCTGGGATGGCGGACCTCCAGGGTTGGTACCAAGTCATCTAAGAGGAGGCAGCGGTAGCTCCATTCAGAAGGGAGCAGGCTGGAGGGCAGAATGTGCGGTAGTTCAAGAAAGAAGGGATTTTGCATAGCAGGAGGGAGAAGAGTTAAGAAGATGTGACAGGCACTGTGCAGATGCCATGGAAGTAGAAAGGGCCAAAGAGAAACCAGGAGAGTAAAAATCCTCTTTTGTAGTTTTGTTGGGTTTTGGGTTGGGTTTTTTTGATAGCAGCTTCCCTTTAGATTGGTGCCATTTATGCATAAGAAGTTTTTGTCTGTATTTTGCTGTGGGTATGAACATTAGGTCTGGAAAGCATAATTGCCTGTCTTGCAATCCAAGTGCAGCACAAAGCAGGGAAATAATTAACAAATCAGTCATCCAGCCGAATGCTAATATTTGCATTTGCCTTTGATATATAGAGAATAAAACTGCTGATGGAAATACTTTTCAGTTTTATTGCAGGTGCAGATGATATCCTGAGAGAGGGAAAGTAAGTCTCATCCTAGCCCCAAAGTAATCACAGTTATATTTGAAGTACTGTGAAATGTTCAGGGGTTTGTCTTTGTGGTTCTCATTGGAGTCACTAAGACTGTTTGCTGATGTCCCAGGCAGGGCTTAGAGAATTAAACCGTGGTATCATGAGACTGGAGCTTTTCTGTGCAAGACTTAGAAACAAGAAGAAGCTTCTGTTTGGCTACTTAATTCACTGTTTAGCTGAAGATTTAACTGACATATTACTGATCTTAGCACTTATTAAATGGACACCTCAAATTGATAACCATGAGTAATATTTAGTCTGTCCCATTTATGTCTCCCCTGCCCCCCACCATTGTGGGGGATGTTATTGCATTAAAGCAGATACATATCAGAAGCCAAATTCTACATGCTGTATTGTTTTGCATCGTGCTATGTGCTCACCCGCTCCACTCCAGAATGACTCCATTTCAATTAGGTGATAAGTAAAGTATGTAAAATGTTTTCTAAGTGTTCTAACCCTAATCTAATCTGCTTTATTACCTTTCCATGCATTTAACCCCTTTTCTTTTTCTAGTGGTTGAAATATTAAGATACAATTATTAAGATGCTGAATAAGGTATAAATAAGTGCTCACATGTAATAAAATGAAAGCAAAAGCTTACTGTAAGAAAATAAATGTTGTTTTTAGCTGTCATGAGAATAAGAAAAGAGAGGATAAACACTGACTGGTGAAGATATGAAATATAAAAAAAGCCACATGAAGATGAAAAAGAGCTATTTTCTCTTAGATCATGTCACCTCTCTGCGAGTACAGTGTTGTGCTCCCCTGAGGACACAGGTTAAACTGATAATGCATTACAGAACTCTTTGCAGCCCTTCCTTAGTCAGGCAGCTCCTCTTAATGCAGTTGAATTCTAATGAACTTCTGTTGCGAGTGCAAAGGTACCAGCATTGAAGTCAAGTGCTCTTCAGATAAAGATATATTTAGGTAGGTGGGAACAAGTAGAAATTTTGACAGCCGTATCAGCAGTCCTGACAAAATTGAACTGCTTTGCAAAACTATATCCATCTTGTTTTTGAGTTCCTTAAGAAAGAGAACCAGTATTGAGGGAGAGGGGAGGGGTATCTGTGGAAAGGAGGAGAATTTAAAAAATACCAGAATGATGTATTTGGTCATCATTAAAACTTTTTTGAGTTTTCATTTTGAAATCAGGTTTTTGTTTCCACTTTTAACTTTGAAAGTATAGAAGAAAATGTTTAAAAGTTGAAATCAAATTAATTGCTTCAGAAAAAGATGGAACTTTTCAACATCAAATCTAAAATTATCTCAGTCATTTGTGAAATTTGGACTTTCATCCTCCTCATAGTCCTACAAAGCAGGTACACTCCCTGAGAGTTTGCAATAAAATAATTTTGCAATCAGTGGATCAAAATGTAAACCTGGACACACACATTTACAGCAGCACCATCGTCGCTTGAAAAGCAAACTTGTGTTGCTGCAGGATTTGATTCATCTAGCAAAAGAGGGAGGAAAAAAAACTGTCCTGAACTTGCAGATGTTTTTCCTGGAGGAGTAATGGCTCTTATGTAAATAATCACTTTATTCTGTAAGTGCATACACTTTCATTCCACAAATTGACTTCACCTCTTCTGCCCTTCTCTCTGGTGCAAGCCTCTGCTAAATCTAGCAAGCCTTATCATTCTGTTTTTAAATATCAACGCTATAAACATCCAGGGCAGAGCTATGTAGGAACCTCATTGTTTTAAAGAAACGTCTTGAAACCTCAAAGTCAGTGTGAAATGAAAAGCTTGGTTGGCAATGACAGATGTAACTTATCAGTAATGTGGAAGGAATACAGCTTTTTAACGTCTTCTCTGCTCAGGTAATGAATGAGGAAAACTAGACATACAGTAAACAACGGAAGTGATGGAGTAGTCTGGTAAATAAATTCCTTTCCTGCAATATGAATATTTTCCAGTTATGCATCAAACATGCAGTGTGTGGTTGTTTGCTGTACCTCTCACTGTACGTGACAAACAACGGTTACAAGGCTGAGCGACTCTGGCACTAAAATTCATGACCAGTGTGCAGAGCAGAGGGGACACTTAGTGTCTGCTTTGCCCGGCTGTCGTCTTGAGTGTGCCCAGGTCCCCCCATGTAACTTCACAGAAGTAATGGCGTGTACCCAGAAATTACACCAACGGAAGGAGGATGATAATCTCCCCTAAATGTTTGCCTGTTTAGAAATAGCCACAGTCAGTTTTCAGCAACTCTGACTGTGTTCCAGGCTGCAGCTGATTTCTTTTCTTTCTCTTTTTTTGCTGTCTTTCATGATACAGGTGCATGTCTCATGAATATGATTTATTGTTTCTCTTTTTAAGCTAAAATGGTTGGAGGAAGGGTACGGCACTTGCTTCTGAAGGAAGATCAGTTAGTGACTTGCCTGAGGAAAGTTTGTTCTAGGCAGTTGGAGATTAGCTCTTGTTCTTAGAACTTGAAGGCTATATTTCCCAGATAATACTGGCTTAGGGAGTATATTGTAATACATTCAACTGTATCAACGTTAGTGCCTTTTACAATTTTCTAGCCTCTTATTTCACTTTGTCAGTGAATTTCAGAGGTTATTTACCTATTGTTTAACAAAATGCTACTTTTCATTGTCTCCTCAAACTGTGTTCATTTTCATAATTTCCTATTGTGAGGTAGGCATCTATGACATCATCTTTGTTTTCAGCTCTCAAAGTAGCATAATTTCCGTATCTTCTGTATGGAAATCTTCCAGTTCCTGTAAGGATTACTCCTTCTTCCTAGGTTTGTTTTGTTTGTTTACTCCTGTTTATGGAAATATTTTATGAGTGGTAGCTAAAGCTAAATACACAGCTCAGTGTGAAGCTAGATACTAAAGCAGGGATTGCCACTATGGATAAGGCCAGTTTTTGTCTAGCTCAGCTTTCTGTCTCTGATAAATGTCTCTGCTAAGTATTTCAGAGGAAAATGCAACACAGCCCTCAGTAAGGAAATAATGAACCTAACATAGAAGGTCTTCCACTATCAGTCTTTTAAGTTGTGCCATGAAAAATGAGAATCTGTATGGCTGCTTATTTTTACCCAATCTAAAGCAGCTGTCGGGGTTTTGGTTGTAAGTATAAATACCTAATCCTTTCTGATATCCTGCTATTCTCATAGTCTCAGTGATGTCTTGTAACAATGAGTTTCACCTCAGGTTAATCAAGTACTCTAGGAAAAAATGTTTGCCTTTATCAATTTTATATGTGTTATCTTTTCAATTTCACTTAATGTCCAGGAACGTGGCTTTATTTCCCTTTTTCTACCAGTCATTATTTTCTAAGCCTCAATAATGTCTTTCCTTATTTATCTCCTGACTAAAGCAAACAATTCCAAATGTCTCACTCACTTCTACTTGATTTGTATGGTTTTAAGTATTTTTTTCCTTTTTGTACCTGTCCTAATTTTGAAATGTACTTTTTAAAGATGAGAATTCGGGAATAATCCTGATCTGTGGGTTGGCAATAGGAAATTACTTGTATAATTCTGATTCTTTTGACTATTTTTACATTTTTAATTTCATTTTCTCTGATGATCCCATGTGTAATGGAAAGATTTCAGAGGGATGTTTAGCACTACGCAGGTTCTCGCAACACCTCCCACAAATACATCTTCACTTACCTGAGCATCCTAGAGTGCTTCAGTTAGCATTTGTCACTGTGTTTTCTTTGTTATGTTCCAATGAAAGGGCAAACTGTGTGTTTTGAAAGCATTTTAGTGGGGTTTATTTTTGGTTTTTTAAGTGATCATGCCAAATACAGGTGAAAGGCAGGCATTTGGAGTGGAGTGATCTGCTCTTCTTGAAACTAAATTGTCTGAAATGAAGCCCATGTTTCTTCCTGCAGAGGTTTAAATTATGGCAGTTGCTACACAGTTTAAGCTATTAAATAATCTTTTGAGGAGTTGGTCTTGAGATGCCTCAGTACTGAAGTTTAGTCTCTGCATTTTAAAACGCTTCTAAATCCCTTTTTCCAGAGTGCTGCCCAAACCTGAATTTATCTAGTTGTGGCTGATTGTCATCTATGAAAATGCAGTTTGTTATAAGGTACTAGAAAATAGGTGATCTCCCAGGTCAGAGGCTGCTTCCGTAACTGGTGGCTTTTCCTTGCTCAGAAACACTGTATCAACCTTTTTCTCACATTTAAGACCTTCGTAAATGAGGATGTAGAAGAAAGATGATGATCACTAGAAAAAGCCTAGGCTATGCTCAGCACTCACTTCTGATGAAGCAGCATTTTTGTGTGAAATTAGAGGTGAAAAATAGGAGTCCAGATTGCTAATCTTTTTCCTTTTTTTTTGGGGGGGGGGTGTGTCCACAGATCTAAACGTCCAGTGCCAGTTTCAACCACAGCACCCAGAATTGACTCTCCCAGGGCTGTAATTCCCCACCAGAAGGTATGTGACACATTTCTCCTCAGCCACAGTTAATACCATTTTTATCTACCTTGGTGAAGGTAAATACCTACTACAGGAAATAGCTTTTGCCCACCCCAAATAAGTAAACACTGAGTGAATGCAAAAAACCTGCCACGATGCAATGTATTAGTGATCTATATTTTACTAATTTCTGATTATCAGAACCAAAGCATCCAGCTATCCTCTGATGTGACCTACTCTAACACATTCTGAGCAGTTTGTTTTCATCTAGGCTACCAAAGCTTCTCAAAATACACATTTGCTTTTGTAGATTCTTGGGGGAAAATCATTAGACAGTGCCTCAGTGTATGCAAATCCTGACTACAACTGAAAAGACACTGATTTGGAAAGATGACATTCAGGCATTTGAAAGCTTGCATCATATTGCGTTCTTGTCACATTATTCAAAAGAGTTGAAATAAAAAATAAAAGAGGGTAAGTCAATTCAATGAATAACAGCAAGTGGCAGAGGAAATGGATGGTTTGGGTTCTGTTGTCAAAGCTCATTATCTTCCATAAAATAAATGTTCATATTAGAATAAAGAGCATTCATTGACTGTACCTGGCAACTCATCATCTGTATCTTTGGAGGCACTGGGGAGCAAGGATACCTGAAAGATGGTATATATCCTTAGACTTGAGCACTGGGTAGGACATTTGTATCAAAAGATCAAAATACCCGGGGAATTCGGTGGTGTTCTACAGGTTTTGGCAGTTCTGACTTCAGAACTGCCAAAAAGTAATTTTTATAAACACCGTGTTTTCCAAATTCAGAGCTCAGAAAGTAACGTCATCCATGTAACTGCTGCAAATATGTTCAAACTTAACAGGAGGGAATGCACTGGGGAGAATAATTTGATTTAATTTTATTTTGTCAAATTTGAAATTAACCTGTCTGGCTATTAATTAGTTGAGACACAAATAATGTTATTTCACTCCGGATCTTGTAGACTTTTCGGCAAGGGAAGGTGGAATTAAGAGTTTATCTTGCTCAGGGTTGTTTCTGCTTATATCATGATTTTCTAAATGTAGTCTTGGAAAAAGTTGTTGGAAGAGTCACCAAACAGTACTGTGAAAATCCTAGAACAGAAACGATGGATCATGCTTTTAGTTAGGCTGGTGTTTGATTGCACCAGCAAAGTGATAGGGACAGGAAGGGGGAGAGAGTACTTATTTTCCCTCAAGAACTACACAGAAAGCTGTTAGTTTTCAAGGCAGCAAATAGACATGTCTCTTCAGGGTTATTCACCAACAGCAGACTGACAACTATCTTTTGAGACCCTCAACAGCATCTGTGCAGTGTGACAGATTTGCCTATTTCCACCATGGCCACACAAAAGCTTCCATACACAGGATTTTCGTTACTCTGTATTAGGTGCATTTCTTCTCTGGCAAGTGTCAATTTTAAAATTACTGCTGTAGGTATTCAAAGCTGTTTACACACAAAACATTTTTCTCCCTTAACTATCTACCCTGTAGAAAATTTAACTCCAGGCACTGTAGGCTTTTTTAAAGGTCCTGAAAGTGCCTTTGGTGTGAAAGCTATTAAGTCACTTCACATTTCCAATTTTAACCCTTCAGAGAGAGATGAGGTTCAAAGGACTCAACCCTTTGTCAGGAGCATGTTGTCTCACACTTGAGCATTCTGTGCATCAGTGCTTAGGACAGGTTTACAGGAGCTGTTGGAGGCAGCCTATTCAGAATGGGCTACAGGCAGTACTTGCAGGTGGAAAGAGATTTACTGGAACCTTTCTGCAGGAAAAGGGTAGCATCTAGGAGAAGGTATGGTGGAAAACAGGATATCTAGCAGTATTCAGAAAGGTTGTCTTAGGTATAGGGTCTTTGGTGCAGGTGGAAGAGGTAGCAGTAGAGTGCTGGAGTGGGGAGGTCCTTTGCTGGTCAAGAGGAGTAACATTTGTGTCACTAGCATACGCTGGTAGACAACTGTAATTTTTAACTGAAGAAAAATTCTTCTCTGAGGGTGGTTTGGAAGGAAATGAAAGCATTGAACCATCGGAGAAGTCTCAAAATGCAGAATAAAAAGTCTTTACTGAGAGTGGTATGGGCATGTTGCAAGAAGGTATGTTACTGTAAATATACTTTAAAAATCAAGGTTTCTTTGCTTGTCCCTTTATTATTTCTAGTAACAATATCACTGTAGAAATGAAGAATTCCGTGACACATAGGCAGAAGCTGTCACCTCCACATCACTGCTTGACAGTGTTTGGACTCTGATGGTTCACGTGAAAGGAATTCAATTGCATTTCAAAAAACAGCAAAAAACTACATTACAAGACATTCACGACAGTGTTGTTTTCAAACATCGAGAAGTTTTTCTCACCTTTCTCCGAGTCAAGGTTAAGGCATGGCAATGTTAGCTAAAAAATCTGCATGTGCAAGTTCAGTGTCTAGTTTAAACCATAAATTCTCTTGTACATTATTGCTGATCTGATTGCAACTTCCACTAATCTTCAAGCATGTACTTCTTCTTTGACTGCTATGGTCATGGGTTTTCATGTTTTAGAAAAGTAAGCGTATGTTATTTTACAAAGATGTAAGGAAAGTATAAAACCCCAGAGTTCTTCACTATGATAAAATATTTTCTACATTCCACAAGTAACATGTATTCTCTCTTTGCTTTCTTGAGCTGATCAGTGTTATGGATGATACAGGTTCTGCAACCATATGTATGATGTCAATTGAAGTGCAGGGCTCTTATTGGAAATAAGTTTGACTGATATGCAGTTTCACTATTTCCTTATCTGACATTAATCTCAACTTGAAACAATTTTCATTTAGTTCAGTTAAATCTTTTTTTATTTAGTAAAAAGATTTAGTCATGTCTTTTGTACAGGTGTGGTATAGCTGGAAGAAAGGGCATAACTAATGCTGAAAGCATTCATATAACAAGAAGAGTAGGCAGAGTCCAAGGATTGAAACTAAGCCATCATCAGTCAATGAGTTCCTGCAGCCTTTCAGGGGGGCACAACACAGGTGAAGAGTCAGCTCAGTATAGTTCAAAATGTTCAAGCTGAAGCTTTAAGGCTAAGCATAACTTTAACATTTATCCCTTTGCATAAAGGTACTAAGACAGCGTCTTTACTGTTAATGATACGACTATGTGTTGTCCTATTTGTGGAACAGAGCTGAACACACTTATTTCAGAGTCCCAGTGAGGATCTCGTAATACTTATGATTTGTTTCCTGCCAAATTTGGGAACCTATGGGGCGAAGAGAAAATAGTTGAAGACATGATTGACCTTTTAAGTAAAGCATAGGATGGAAGAGCTCGCTGAGCCAAAAGCTGTTCGATGGATGTGTTTGAGCAGAGTCACTTAATGCCATGATGCCTTCATTTCCTTCTTTCCTTGAAAAGTTTAAAGCAACAACTGCTTCTTGGGCAAGTTGGGAGGTCAGATTCATTATTATAGCGTTAAAATTGTTGTCCCAGATGTGCAAAAGGTGAATAAAGCCTGTATGGTCATAGCAATAGATAGATAGAACATGGGCTGTCAAAGGAAGAGGACCTGAAAAACTGGTATTGTGTCTTCCAATATAAATTTGTTTCTCACTTCTCTGATACATAAGGAGCATTTGCCTTCCGTTGAAATTGAATATTTATAAAGAAAGGAATAATAATATTTCAGAATGGAAATTAAGCTCATTCATAGCTTCCTTCTATTCCCAAATGTTTGATACTCCTCTACATTTATCAGGTTTAAGCTTATTCGCTGACGTTACACTGGGAAATTAAAATGCAGTTTTCCCCTCATAGTAAGGGACTGCTGCAGGGTCACAGCGTCTTTCTCGAGGAAGGAAGCCCATTGCTCAGGATCAGAGCCTCCCCTTCTGGTCAGCTGAAGGGTAGCATCACACTTACATAGTTTGAAATGTTAGCTTGCTTTCCCACCCACGGAGACTGAAACAGAATGGGATGAGAGCGATGGCAAACAGGGGAACGTTTGTTACAGTTGGCTGCATTGCATGTGATGTAATGCTAAAAGCCGTGCTGCTGCTCAGTATTAGAAATCTGACCTTCACATTCAGAAATGGTTTCAGAAATGCTGCCTTGATCTGCTTTTGCCACTGAACTGGAGAAAAAGAAATCCTAAAAAATCCAACCAGGAATAAACTGAATGAGATATTTTTTTGTCAGCTGCAAAAGGAAAGAGCTAAATAAACTCTGATTATTGGGCAGTAATTCTTCAGAAGAAGTTATACAGCTGCTCTGTTAGACACTTCCTCTCCCATCCCTTCCTGCTGAACACAGGGAAAACAACAACCTTAAAACTACCATGAATATTAACTCAAAACAGAGAATGCTAACCTGGCACTGCTGGGCCCCTAGGAATTCTGGTGTGGAGGTACCAGCATGCTCTTGTTCCAGCTAGAAATTGTTTGAGGAGTGAAATCAAAACTCTGTTCATGTCATAAAGGTGAGCAAAATCATCAACCATTGTGTTTTATGGCAGTCTTATAATTTTCCCTTTGCCCACTTTTAAGTGTCCAGTAACAGCGGCACTATGAAAACACATTAGAATTAAGGAAATACCTGACATTTCTCTCATTAGCGGTTGAAACTGCTACTTTATAATCAGATCTCCTTGCACATCCTTTGATTATGGGGTTTAGAAAGGAAACCCTTAGGTAAAAGCCACAGAGTTTTCCAAACGACTATAACTCTGGCATAGCCTTTTTTTTTCTCTATTGCCTCTGTATTTTTTTTTAAATATTTGTTTTGTCCCTCTCTGCTAGCATGTATAAGTCATTTGCACAAGTGGTGACTCAATTTATGAACATGGCCTTGTGTGTTTGTGCCTCTTCTACAACACATTTTTAGAGAGAATCCATGTTTTCTGTTTGTTTAACGATACTTTGAAGCTTGCAGTAGGCCACGTAAAGTTTTGTTAGTTGCTGTTTTCTGTGTCAGGGTATAATGACTGAAGTACGTAATTCAAATATATTTATTTAAAAAGGCGTAGTCTGAAAAATGCTTTTAGGATTATCTCTTTCTACAGCCTCAAGCAGCTTTTAATGCCAGCTAAAATCTCTTCCTGTTTATTACTAAGAAAAGTGTTCTCAGTTTATTTTATCTGCCTCACATTTTGATTCAAAACATCTTAAATGTACTTAATGTTATGATTAATTGTATCCTTAGACCTTTAGGGGTTTTTTTGCAATTAATATTAATCAATCAGGCCATATTATCTTGATTTTTCAAATATAAATCTCCCTAAACTTTAAATATGGAATATAGAAAAATCCAAGGGGAGAATATAAAATATTTATCTTTCTACTGAACCTTGGTATCAAAATCAGTAAATAACATTAATGATAACCAATACTAGCAAAAGTAGAAAATCACAGGCCAAATTGTTCTCAGGCCTATGTTTCATGCAAGGCTATAGGGGAGATGGATGTAAGATGTTAAAGATGGCAACTGAAAAGCAGTGCCAGCCCAAATGAGGCAAAGTGTCACTGCAGGCCAGCACCTGCTCTTGTACTGGTGTGGCGGGTTGACCCTGGCTGGACGCCGGGTGCCCACCAAACTGCTCTGTCACTCTTCCCCTCAACTGGACAGGGGAGAGAAAATGTAACGAAAGGCTCGTGGGCAAAGATAAGGACAGGGAGAGATCACTCACCAGATACCATCACCGGCAAAACAGACTCGACTTGGGGAAATGTTTGATTTATTACCAATGAAATCAGGATAGGATAATAAGAAATAAAACCAGATCTTAAAACATTTTCCCCCACCCCTCCTGTCTTCCCGGGCTCAACTTTACTCCCAATTTCTCTACCTCCTCCCCCCTCAGCAGCATGGGGGGATGGGGAATGACGGTTGCGGTCAGTTCATCACACGCTATCTCTGCCACTCCTTCCTCCTCAGGGGGAGGGCTCCTCACACTCTTCCCCTGCTCCAGCGTGAGGTCCCTCCCACAGGAGACAGTCCTCCATGACTTCTCCAACGTGAGTCCTTCCCAAGGGCTGCAGTTCTTCACGAACTGCTCCAGGGTGGGTCCCTTCCATGGGGTGCAGTCCTTCAGGAACAGACTGCTGCAGCGTGGGTCCCCCGTGGGGTCACAGGTCCTGCCAGCAAACCTGCTCTGGCACAGGCTTCCCATGGGGTCACAGCCTCTTTCAGACATCCACCTGCTCCCATGTGGGATCCTCCACGGGCTGTAGGTGGATTTCTGCTCCACTGTTAACCTCCATGGGCTGCAGGGGCACAGCTTTCCTTGCTGTGGGCTGCAGGAGAATCTCTGCTGTGGCACCTGCAGCACCTCCTCCTCCTCCCCCTTCACTGACCTGGGTGTCTGCAGAGTTGTTTCTCTCACATATTCTCACTCCTCTCTATGGCTGCCATTGGTGCTATGCAGTTTTTCTCCCTGCTTCTTAAATATGTTATCACAGAGGCGCTACCACCATTGCTGATGGGCTCGGCCTTGGCCAGCAGCAGGTTCATCTTGGATCCAGCTGGCATTGGCTTCGTTGAACATAGGGGAAGCTTCTAGCAGCTTCTCACAGAAGCCACCCCTGTAGCCCCCTCAGCTACCAAGACATTGCCATGCAAACCCAACACAGCTGGCTTTCATTGAGGGCAGATCGTGGACTCCATCCCTTCTTCAGGACCACGTACCCTGCCTGTCCCTGTGCCGCAGAGCTGGACTGCAGCATGTTGCCAGCGTTACTGGTGGGCCTTTTAACTGTGAGCATCACAGCATCTGGGTGCCAGTTATGGCTGCAGTGTATCTGGGTGCAGAGGGAGAGGCTGAAGTGATCATTCCGATGTAGCAAAAGCAATGTAGCCCAAGTTAGGCTGGATCCAGGAGCTTCTGAGATAAACCACAATTTGATATTATGGCTATAGAGAAATCTGTAAATTGCCAAGCATTCTAATAGTTTGTTGAGTATCTTAGGGATAGGTTTCTTTATCCAAAACACATAATTATGGACAAACAAAAGTGAAGAATAAAACAGCTTTTAAAACTGTACAATTCATTATTTTAAAACATGTGCTAATGGATTCCAGTACTCAGGGTTGATGCTAGGTTCAAAAGGCAAACATTAAAGAGATGTTAAAAATAATCGGTATTAGAATCTTGCTGTACATGTTCCAGTCACTGACCCTTTAGAAGTTAAAGTGTAAGAAAACTGAGCGTAAAGGTATAAAATGCCCACCTGCAACTCATGTGACAACTTACTTCCTGCATTGTGTTGCTGAAAAAGCAGTATTTTTTTTTTATATTACCTTTTGATTTGGTTTCACTAAGCTGCATTAATAACAGATCATTTATGAAACTGAAGCACAGTGCTGTGTTCTTCCAGGATGAGGTTTTGGTAGAACATTTCTAATTTGAGCACCAGCACAGACTTCCATGGGTATAGCGATTGTAGGAGAGATTCCTGTGACTTCAACTAAGACAATACATCCTGCTGTCCTCATTAGGAATATTATCTGGGACATGACTGACAGGTCATGCACTCATCATCTATGTATTCATGCACATGTTTCTTCCGGTGGAAACAACCAGAATAGAAGCATCCTATCTGTTGAGCAGTACCTGTTCCCCCGTCCTGTTACTCTACCTGCTAACCGTGCTGCATGGCCTAATTAGCATGAACCAGAGCCTACAAAAGCAATGCAATGTGAGGGCTTCAGTAACTTGAAGTGTACTCATGGAAAGTAGAAAGGTGTGGTTTAGAATCATTGTTTTTGTAATAATGGTATTGACTTTTATGTTTCTATATTATCTCAAATGATTCTGACCTCAAGATATTTTTTTTTAAGATTTCTTAATTATCCTAGAAATTAATGGACAGTGTTGTCTTTATAGAGAATTATTGCTATGGGGTTGACTAGTAGCAAGTGCTCTTTTAATGTTAAGCTTTGTTTGTTGATTTCAACTAAAACCCAGTAAAAAAGTGCCTGAGTATGTTTTGCTTCCCTTATTTGGAATCAATGCCTTTCTTCACTGAAAATCTTCACTGAAAGGTTGGATGCTTTGGCCTCAATCTATTTATTGCAAGTTTATTAATATGTTTAGAAAGCAGTAATTGCAGATACGTTATTTTTGCATGTGTTCTATGATTGGTCTTTTCTTTTTTTCTTTTCTTGGCCTGCATGTTTGCTACTACAGGAACCTGCTTGGGAAATCAATGGCAACAGAACAACCTTCAGTCCTCTAACTAACACGGCGACTGGGCCTATGGGTAGTATTTTAGCAACCAATGGAGCGTTTTCAGGCTACCTCAACAAGCAAGAGATCAGCTTTTCAAATAGCTCTTCCTACTTAAAGACTACCACAGTTAGATCTTCTGTGTCCTCTCAGTCTGTGACTCCTGACGTTTCACCTGCAAAGAGTAATCTAGGTTCAAAACTAAGCCCTGTATTGACTGATGGCAATAGCCCTATACACCAGCTGAGCCCTGCAAAGCAGTATAACAACCCTATTGGCCTTTACTCAGCAGAGACTCTAAGGGAAATGGCTGAGATGCATAAATTAAGTCTCAACCGAAGGGCTTCGGAAGGTGGACTTCCTAGAGGGTAGGTAATATGGTAAAATATTTACTATTTCAAAAAGTAATGAATTTGCTGAAAAATGAATGTAATAGTGCCTACCCTGTTGAGCATTTGTCTGGTAATCATGATTAAGGTCTGGAACAATCATTAAATTTTCCAGTACCCCCTGAAACATATACACAGTACTGTTACATAGTAACTGTTGGTCTTTGGCATCTGAATTGCAATATGGATTGGCAATAGTCACCGGAGCATGTGGAGGAACACTATGACTGAAGAAGCTGTGATCATCTCGAGGTTCTGGCATTCAGCAATTTAAGCCAATGCATGTAGTCGCATAGGACCAAGTATGACTGTCAGCCCTTATAGGAGCTGCTATAAAAAGATTGGATCTTTGGTACCTTCCTAAAGAGAAATTGCTTTGACCAACAAATCTGACGTGCCAGTCTGCTGGAGTGTCCCGCTGTAATCCCTGTCTTCATGTATTGGCTTTCCTATGCAAAATGAGTCAAAACTGCGATATTTTGAATTGTCTGGTTTGAACATTGTCTGTCTTGCATCTGTTAGCTTTGCTCTTAACTTGTGTGTAACAAGGAATGATCTCTAGATACTACCCAGATAGTTTGATCCCATGCTGTCAAGGTTCTATTACTGTACTGCGGATCAGCTGTTTTATTAGTAGGTTTGTGAAGGGAGAAGCTTGGACTGCAATACATGAGAAAAAGCAGTGAGAAACAGGTTTTCCTTCATGTATTAATTTGCAAACAAATCTCAGTTTATTTGTGTTTATTTAAAAGGAAGAGAAATTTATTATGAACGTGGGAAAAAGTATACTTTTGACACTAGGGACTTGGCTATATGAGGAAAACCAGAAAGTTCAGACAATCCACTTGAGGTCTGATAGCAAACGCATATTTTCAAGTACTTTTGTGTCCCATTGCAGAAACTCTTTCTGAGAGTAAAACCACGGGGGTTTAAGTTGCAGCAAAGTAAGGATATTTTATCTTTATTAAAGAGAATATATACATGTTCTAGATGATTCAAGCAGTTCAGATGATTCATTGTAACTCTCTTGAGTACTTGGCATTAACAATCCTAATTAACTTATCTGAAAAAGTCCTATCCTCCCTTGTCATACTGGATAATTAAGAAAGGTAATTAGGATTTAAAAGAAAATAATTTCAGTTAGTAAGCAAGATCAGCAAAATAAACCTCAGAGTGCTTCTTTCAATTTACAGTTTTCTTGAAGAAAACTAATCCTTGTCTTATTTCAACATGCAGAGTTTCCTGGGAGCATATCTCACTATCTTTCTCCCACTATCTTCACAATCCTCCTTAACGTCTGCAAGGATGAGGGTGAAGGGGCTGTATTTTGGATGACTCAGCATTCTGACTATTTCTTTGATATCAAAATTGTAAGACAGCTGCATCCATCACTCACCGAAGGCAATGTGAACCATTCTGTTGATCCCAGAGGGCATTGCGATAGGACTAGATAGTATGACAGTGATTGTTGGGGTGCAGGAAAGGTGTACCCTCAGAAAACACTTCACTGTCTTTACTCTGTTGCTTTTCCATGTTTTGTGTTTCCTTTATATATACATGTTAGTGTACACCTGTGGCAGTGCACTGAATTACAAAGCAAGGTTTTACCTTAGAACAACCATCTGAGATTTTATTTTGTTTCAGTTTGAACAAAATTTTAGGGAATTGCTGTCTATCTGCCTGTAATATCTGTAGCACTAATGAACAAATAAGGAAATTTATGAGAAATCATCTAAATGTTTTGTCAAAACAAAAGTCAACCTCTATCCTGCAGTGCAGGAACAATCTGAAAAGATGAAAAAGCCCAGAGCTACTAAGTACAAATTTTCAGGTAATTTCTCTGAGATTTAGGCAATTGTACATCTCAGTTTATGTGCAGAGTTCAACAATCCTGTCACTCCCACTCCCACTTCACTGTCACCTATGAAGTGAGAGGCTTCCCTTCTACTGCTCTGTGGAGAGTAACATGGAACCTGTAGCTACCTCGGGACGTGGTATCATCCACGATAGTCTCAATCTCATCGTGAATATATGTGAAAGTGCACAAGTAAAGCACTGTGAGCTCTGCAAAATCAGGTCTGGACTTTGTTGTGGATGTTCTTATCATATAGTACAACATGAAATGCTGCATCAAGATGATGAAATTATGTGCTTCAAAACTATGGATTTATGTCTACGTTTAGCCTGTATCCGAGGCTAAACTGTAACAGTTGCTCTGTCACCCCATGACCCCTCACCAGCCAGGGAGAGGAATTGGGAAAAGGAGAGCAGACCCATGGGTTGAAGTGAAAACAGATTTAATGAAAACACCACCAATACCAACAAAGGCATATAATGACCATGATGCTGTGGGATGGGCTACCCCTGTAGCTAGCTCAGGTCAGATGCCCTGGCTGACTCCAAACTGCTGACGGCCTGCTCAGTGTGGCTAGGCGCTGATTCTGCCCCAGCCAAACCAGGATGATTTATTATGCATTCATGAACATGCATTTAGCAGTATAGTAAAAGGGGATTGATCGTAAACTACATTTCGTGTTTCAGTTTGGTGTCCTTTTCACCAAATCGTTTAAACTTAATTGTGTGAATTGCTGTAGAGGTTTAGTTAAACCCCCTAGAAAATCCTGTCAGGAAGCTAAAATTAATTTTGAGATTATTTCCTTGATCTGCAAAGAATAACAAAGCATCCATTTCTCTGATACACTTTTATGTTAAAGCTTTATCACCCTGGCCCGGGGTGAAAAATAGAGGTGGCCTGTTAAGAGTGTGGAACTTGATGTGCTGAAAGCTCTGGAAAGGGGAATATTAATAAATACAGAGAGTGAGTCATAGCTTGTAACATGTGATTCTTTTTCATTCCAGTGTAAGTTATTTTTCACATTGTAGGTCAAGGGCAGTAAATACCTGTCCCACAAGTACGTGCCAGGTGGCTTGGGTTACTAGCTTCTTACTATGTGACCTCTGTGAGAGTAAGTTGGGTGTTTCATACATGTCCGTATTTAGAATCAAGCTAAAATAATGTGTGGCTCTGAACTGGAGGGAATTTTCTCATCACATAAGGAGAAGTAAAGCTCTACTCTTTTTGGAGGAAGCTGTAGTAGCCTCTTCACATCTAAAAAGCCTTTACAGAGACATGTGGCTGTTGAGCTGTTTGTGGTGTGTGCGCATAATGATTTTTATCTTCAAACATATTTTTATATGCAAAAAAGTGGTTCCTCTGATTAAGGTGTATTTTAGGGAGAGTTCTGCCTTTAAAATATTGTTTTATGTGTAAAGCAGAGGCCTGGATTAGGAGATTAAAGCAGACATCGGAGTCCACTTCAGAAAATGATACTATTACACTACGTTTCGTTGTAAATGAGTGCCCAGCTGTCCTGCACATACCTAAAATGGATATAGGATCACTGATGTGCTTACAGGCTACAGCTTGTTCCTAATATATCTCTACTGATTCCTGTAGCAGACTGATATATTTGGCTTAATGTAGGGTTTATAAAGTTAGAATATTCTCAAATCCTAGAGTCTGAACAACAGTAACTGCAGAAGGTGATCTGTGATTGCTGTTCCACAGAAATGCAGAAGTGCAAAGCCTTTACTGCAGCTTTGGCTCATTGCGGCGGTTTTGATCATGAAAAAGGCACCTGGATGAGCCAATGCAAAAGCACTGTATGTAAGCCCTTTTACGGTAATAGCAAAGGTTCCGGAAGGCAAAAGCAGGAGACGACAAATCCACTTTGAATGTCACTCTAACAGTATAACATTGCTGCCCAGGATTTTGTATCAATCCCAGTGTTCCAGCAGCAAGTTGGAAGGTTCAGTACCCAGTTCTGTCAACAGCGCTCTGTGCAGCTAAATAAGAAATGGGTATTCACTGATCCTGGACTCTCTTCCTTTTTCATTTTGTGCAAGATATGATGAATTACTCCTCACTTAAGAATATAAGAGCAAAATGTGGGTATTCTAAGCTTTGACAGAGCGAAGTTAAAATAAATGTCATAGCCCATTTATGCTATTCGTGCAACCAACAGAAAAGAGTTATTAGGAAATAATATAATATTACAGTCTGAGTACACTATCTATTCATCTCTCCCAGCTTTGGCCCATGTAAGGCCTACGCTGAGTTTTGTGTTGTATTTCTTTGGGATTACTGTGCAGGCCACTGCCACTTCTTGTTTATGCAGTGACGCAGGATGTAGAATGAACATGTTTTTTCATACCGTGTACATACCAGATGGAATAAAATATCTTTATATGGATACCAAAACCCCCACATAATGCATGGACTTACTTCATTTCCCATGGAATAAATTAGGAATGACTATTCTGAAATTAATTGGCTTACACCATAGTAGGCATAATGTAGGTACAGTCAGATTTAGGCCAATTGTTAAATACGAAGGCATTTTCCTTAGGTTTAGATTTAAAACATCTACCAATATATTCCTGGATATTCTCCAGCATGCAAAAGACCGAAAAATCAGTCTTGCAATACCAGCTCAGAGTGGACCAAGGAAAGCAGACTTCATCCCTGAATATTTAGTATCTGAGGGAAGAATATAATCCCTACCACTCATTTGCTATTTTCAGATGAGAATCTACCCTGCGAATGCTTCTTTCTTCCCTCTACTCCCTCCCCCCATACACTTTGATAATAGTACTTTTAGGGATGCACAGCAATAAAATTATGTTCAAGGGTCAGCCAAAATGCCATGGTACCCTACTAAGTCCTAGTGGATCAACTCTAATCCCTACATTTTTTCCTTTCTTAATCATGCTGGGGTTTTCAGGCATACATTTACTTTTGTTCGTTTGTAGACAGTCTGAAAAAAAGCTTTAATAAGCTTTTGTAAATACCTTTTGCCCTTTGCACTCTAAAAACTATTGACTTTTTCTGTTGGGTTGGTTTTGATGTTGTTTGTTTTCTTTCTCTTCTTTTAGGTCATAACCAACACTGCTGCCAAGTTAGTATCACTTCTATATAG